GAAGGAAGGAAAAAGAGAAGGGAAGGGAAGAAGGAAGGACTGCTTGGTATATTGATGTTTCAGTGGATATTTATTTTTTAATTCGAGGGAGGGAGGAGAAAGGGAAGGAAGGAAGGAATCATCACCTTGCTGTCTTCCTTCTAACTGAAGTTTCGGGATCATCTTCAAAAGCCCCCTCAACCCAACACACTGCTCTCATCCCACTAGTGACGCACCACAGCCTCAACCCCGTGACCTGCCCTATGTATTAACCCGGGACTGAACTAAGGCGAGCAAGTTTCACGGTGCACAAAATGCAAGCATTGGGCAAAGGGTAGGGTGGAGAGAGGGAGAGGGATCAAGCCAACTTTTTGAAACAACAGGAAGCCATGGAAGTGCTCGCTGACAAGGGTGTGTTAGGTTGAGATGAGAAAGCAGCGCGTCGGAGATGAAAACGAGGGAACACACAGCAAAGGAAAAGAATCCAGGTTAAAGCAGGACATGCCCACAAAATGATCGACGGTCAGGTGAGGAGCAGAAGGTGGCCTAGTGACCACGACTTCCTCCTGAGCAGCAATCAGAAAAACAGAGTTGGAAGAGACCTCGGAGGTCTCTTCTAGTCCAGCTCCATGCTCAAGCAGGAGACCCTATACCATTTCAGGCAAATGGCTGTCCAGTCTCTTCTCGAAATCCACCATTGTTGGGACACTCACAACTTCTAGAGGCAAGCCGTTCCACGGATTAGTTGATTTGGGATTATAGGATGACAGAAGAACAGAATTGGAAGGGACCTTGGAGGTCTTCTAGTCCAACCCCCTGCTCAAGCATGCACCGTTCTGGACAAGTCATTGTCCAATCTCTTCTTGAATTGCTCAGCCACATCTGGGGTAGTGACTGCTCATGCAATCTTATTAGCGGAATATATAGGACATGTACAAAGCTCAGGAGGTCTATCCATTCTAGAGCATCTCCAGAAAAGTGTAACTAATTCACAGTTTTTACTTCTGCGTGGACGGCTCAGATCTCCCGAAATGTTTTCATTCTCTC